ATACACATACACATACACACATACACACATACACACATACACATATACACATATACACATACATACATATATATATATATATATATATATATATATATATATATATATATATATATATATATATATATATATATATATATATATATATATATAGGCATATATATGCATATATACATATATATATATATATATATATATATATATATATATATATATATATATATATATATATATATATATATATATATATATATACATATATAACGTCTTAATCATAAATCACTATGCAGTGAAATTATGCACCAGCTGTTCTACTGCAATCTAGCAATCAATGAGTTTTTTTAGAATCAAAAATTTTATATCAATGGCCCACACCCAGGCCATTAACAATGTCGAATCTCTCCCCCCCCCCTCATGTAACAGCTAGAACAACAAAACAACAAGTACATGTCGTACATCACAGTATGTCAGAATATTTTACATTCAAAATTTAAAATGTTAAATTATTTTTGAATGGGAGGCTATACATGCCATAATCCCTGATTAACCCTCCTTTCAAACAAGCCCCCACTCTAACAAGTGTCACCTTTCTTGACGAAGAAATATTTATGTATAAAAACACTGATTAGTTTCTGCCCCGCCACTGGCAACATATAAATTAACATATTTTTAGAATATATAGATGTTCAAAACTATTAGAATTGATGTTCAAAACTTATTTTAAACTTGAAACAAACCCCAATTTTGCTTTGACATTTGAATGGAAATAAATAAATGAATTCGCTTTTTGTTTGAAAGACATAATTATGATTTAGTATAAATGTTACCATAGTCATATGATAGGTTAGAAACAAGTTTATCCTTTATATTAAACATACTTTATAAACAGGTTCAATTAAAAGGTTAAAAAGGTCAAAAAACAATTTTAATTGTTAAAACAAACCTTTTCAAAACGAAATCTTTCCACTATTTCTTCTACAACACCTCTTGTTATAAGAAACTCGCATACCTGTGAAATTTAAATTAGATTTCATGAATATTTATACCCGTAATATTATTGAAACAATTTAATATTACATGATTTGAGAATACACAGCTATTAAATGCACTATACACTGTTTATAATACTAATAGGCTTGTATCTCCCTCAGTTTTATCTATAATCCCATTCAAAAAGTGATTTATGTTCTATTCATACTTTGGCATCTTACCTTTGCGGTTGAATTTGTTGAATTTGACGAACAGTCCATTTTAGATGTATTGTCTGCCATATTTTCTATTAAATTTGTACTGTAAAAGTCGAGAAAAAAGTCGTGAAAAAGTCGAGAAAAAAGTCGTGCAAAAAGTCGTGCAAAAAGTCGTGCAAAAAGTCGTGCAAAAAGTCGTGCAAAAAGTCGTGCAAAAAGTCGTGCAAAAAGTCGTGCAAAAACTCAACACGATCCTATAAGTTAGCAACGTTCGAAAGTTAATCGCGATTCAAACAAATTATTAAGCGCGATTCAAAAAGTTGAAAGCAATATTCGTATGGCCCTTTCGGGCTTCCGTATGAGACAGCTTTAAATTACTACTGCGCAGTACGTAGCCATTGTTTTCACAAGTGTGAAATAGTTGTGTTACGTATTCTGGAAGCATGCCATTAATCGCTTTAAATGTCATAAGGAGATCTCGCTTTTTCAAAATTAAGTCAAGAGGTTTCCAGCTAAGTTTTTGAAAAATGTTCGAAGATCTTATAGTATAGTCCGAATTTGTTATTATTCTTGCTGCTCGTTTCTGAAGCTTATATAATTTGTCTAAGTGTGTTTGGTTGTTATTTTGCCAAACAGTTGAACAGTAGTTAAAATGAGGCGCGACTAATGCGTTATACATAATTTTGAGCGTATCTAGGCCAACAAAATCTTTGGCTTTTCTTAAAAGATTAATATTTTTTGATATCTTGTTGCATTGTTCTTCATTTTGCCTATTCCAGCTAAGTCTATCGTCTATAACTATACCCAAAGCTTCCTTTTTATAAACTCGTTCAATTTGATGTCCGTTTATACTGATTTTTGGCACATGATCTAAGTTTTTTAATCGTTGCCGAGATCCAATAATCATATATCTGGTTTTTTCGTTGCTTAATGTTAGTTTATTCGCTGATAACCATTTTTGAGCATTTACTAGGTCTTTGTTAAGTTTGTATTCAATATCTATGGATAAATGCCCTTGACATGATAAAATTGTGTCATCAGCAAATAAATTAGAGTGTGTTGTTTCTAGGCAGTTTGGGAGGTCGTTTATGTAAATGAGAAATAATAGAGGTCCAAGATTTGAACCCTGAGGTACTCCACAACGAATTGTTTCAATATCAGATTTACAGTTATTTAGCATGCAAATTTGCTTTCTTTGATCTAAATACGATTGGAACCATTTGAGCATGTGGTCGCGTATCCCATAAGCTTGTAGTTTTGACAATAGAATCTGGTGATCAATCGTATCAAATGCTTTTTTCAGGTCTAAGAAGATAACCCCATTTATTTGACCCTGGTCCATTGATTTCAACCACATTTCAGTAGATTGTAGTAACGAGGTTTCGGTTGAGTGATTGTGACGGAAACCTGATTGATTTTTTACAATTATGTTGTTGTTATCCAGGAAGGTATTTAGTTGTCTACAGACTAATTTCTCAAATATTTTGGCGATATTCGAAATGACTGATATCGGTCTATAGTTTTCACATAAGGTTTTGTTTTCTGACTTATATATTGGAGTCACTTTGGCAAATTTCCAATCATCTGGAAATATTCCTGTCCTAAGAGATAGGTTAAACACTTCTAGAAGTGATTCAGTTATTGTATCGCCTGCCTGTTTTATTAGCTTAGTTGAGATCTTATCTAGACCTGTAGATTTTTCCATTTGCATATTTTGTATTTCTCTTTTCAGCTCATAGCTTGATATGCTATGAAAGTGAAATACATTTGTGACTTGGTCTATATATGACAAAGGATCAGGACTACAGCCATTGTCAGCAATGTTATTTGCTAATTTGGGACGTATAGAAGTGAAGAATTTATTAAACTCGTCGACTATATCTTTATCTTGTGTTACATTTTTTCCATGGTCTATGCTAAGTTCATTAACAATTGTGGTTTTGGATTTCCTGTTAAGCAGATTATTTAATGTATTCCAACCTTCTTTACTATTTTTACTGTTTTGTAGTTTAGTGTTGTAAAATTGAACCTTAGTTGCTTTGATTCTTTTGTTAAGTTCATTTCTACAACGTTTATAAGCTTAATTCGTGGTAATTATAGAAGAGTTAAATTTGACTGCTTTTTGTTTCAAGTAGAATTTATGATGCGCAAGGTTTTTTATTTCGTTTGTCATCCAAGGACAGTGCTCACTTTTGACTTTCCGAATCCGAAGTGAAGCATGCATATTTGCAATATCAAGAAAAATAGTTTTCCATACCTCCCACGCATGATTTGGGTCGGCATAATTATAGAGGTTGTAGTGTCTTTGAAATGCCATTTTTAAGTCGTATTGAAATGCAGATGAATTAAAGTATTTAAACTGCCTTGTTTCTACAATTTTTGGTTCAGCCCTTGGTATTCCTACTTTGCGGCAAATGTACACTAAACTGTGATCACTCAGTCCTAAATGTATCACTCCAGAGTCTATAATTTTGGTATCGCTTGCTTTAGTCATTATTATGTCAATTTATGTTTTAGATGTTGGCGTTATTCTAGTCGGACTTGTAATGTGTTGCTTTAGCTGAAACTCATTTATCAGATCGGATACCTTTTTGTATGATGAGTGGGACTGTTTGCCATCAGATCGCAATTTAGGTCGCCAGTGATAATATCAATATTTGTATCATCTAGTTTTCGCAGTAACGTTTCGAAGTCATTTAATATGCTAGTGTTAGAATTTGGTGGACGATACCATGTAACAATTAAGAATGGTTTTGACTTGGTTTTAAAACCCTTTAGTTGTGGATAAGACTTATTAATTTGGAAAGGAATTTTTGGGCTTTTCGAGGTGCAGCGTGCTGGACTATCGGAAATATCTTTGTCGACTATATTATTATCGCTGTGTCTTATGGCATTATTATTGTCGTTACCTAGTCAATTTCTATTAAGAAATTGCTTTATATTTTTTGCTAAGACTGATGTACCCTGCTTATTTAAGTGCAGTTAAATGGTTTATGTCAACATTATTGTGCCTGATAAGACACCAATTTCGTTCTATACATAGTTGGGCTAATCCCTTGTTATATTCGTTTACCTTATCAGCCAATGTTAACGTTTTATCGTCATTTCTTGTTATGATTTCTGATAAAACTAATTCTATATTCCTGTTTTCTCGATTCAATCTCAATTCAATTTTCTCAATTCAATTTTCTTGATTCAATTTAATGATAAGGCGTGAAGTGATTAATAAGCCTGAAATTCTTCAGGGTTTTACTAATATAGTGAAATTCGTCTTACCTGTTTTTTATGGAATTCTTCAGGGGTCTAAATTTCTCTAAAATTTCTGGAACGCTTAAAGGGAAACTACTCAAAAATATGTATCCCTGCCAGTGGGACTTCGGTTTTTAAATGGAATAGTCTATATATCCAGTGGGCCAGCTTGGTGAATTAATAAATATTTCACAAACCTGTAGCAAGAAAACGTAGGGTAACAGAGAGACGTTCGCAGGGTTTTATTGCCGATCGCATTCGAGTGTCCTGTTTAGAAATTTACGGCGAGACCATACGTAAGATATTCTCAAAGGATTGCCTATCAAGCCGGTGATATTGACGGAATTTTTCCGGATCCTCTGCGTCAAGTTCCTGAATAAGATTATCATAGACTCTTTGTCTTCTCAAAATCCATCGTTTGGTCCAGAACTTGCGATTAGCCGCCCTCAGACGTCTTCGACGTCGTCATATCAGCAAAAGAAGTAGCAAGATATCTTCATCTTCTCACAAATAATCTTGTTCACTGTCCGCCATGTTGTTTTTGGATAACACGACACACGCATGCGCACTTCCTTTGCTACAAAGAGTTGCGAAGAGCTGTTTGCCGCACACTGGGAATTTTTGTCACAAATGACAGGAAATATCAAACATGTTTGATATTGCTTGTTCACAACACGAGTGACAAAAATCCTGTATATTTTCCCCACACACTAGGATTTTCGTCGCACGCAATTGGTCACAAATGACATTTGTGTGTGCAACTTGCACTAGTGTGCGCCGGGCTTTAGGGGGGCGCACATCACACATACAATCCTGGCCAAAAACTTTGTGGACAGTACAAAATTGTAGCAAATTATATAATACATTTAGATATATTGCATAATATCTGTCAAACCCCCACACCCCCATCTCAATGTTGCAGTCCAATATGATATATACAGAGTTGCCGAAGCGAAAACGATTTCAACATTGTTTTGGGGGAGTGGGGGCGTAAGTTATAGCATTAAATCCATCCTAAACGCATATGAGCCTACCTGTCCACATGATTTTGGCCAGGATTGTCTGAAAATTATGTGTTCTTAAAAATTGCTAATTTTTACGTAAAAACGGGTGAAAATACGAGAACTTTTGTTATGATGATATTATTTAGGATATTTGTGATCAATTAATAAGTTTTATGTACAATTTGATTTATTTTATTGTACAGTAGGTATAACCGAGGATATAAATATTGATTTACCTGTGTTACAGGATTTCAGGAGGTATAACGTACAAAAGCACAATCACGTGGAATGCGCGTGATTATATTTATAAATAACTCTATATTTAGTTATGACTTAATTTTAGTATTTGTAACAATATACTATTAATATTGCAATATGGCTGCGGTAGATACAGGAAGCAGTCTCCGTAGTTCAGCAGTAAGAAGCGTATACTTAGTAACTTATAGTCGAGCTGATTTGAGCAAATTTCCGAACCGAAGAGATTTTGCTGAAGCACTTGTTACTTCGTTTGAGAAAGGTTCTGCTAAAGTGAAGCACTGGTGTTGTAGCAGA